ACCACCCTGGACCAGTGGGGAAAAGGTGGACAGAAAGGGGGGTGCATTCCCAAGGTGAGCGAGATCACCCAGAGCACTGGGGAGATGTTTGCTTTGGATAGGCAGCCCTTCTTCCTAGTTGAGCAGCCAGGGTTCAGGCAGTTCATAGCACTTCTGACCCATTTTACAAAGTGCCCACACGCACCACCTTTAGCAGGATGGTGGTGCCCTCCCTGTACAAGGCATGCAGGAAGTACTTGAGGGAGGAGCTGCACAAGGCAGGGCTGCAGATAGCCTTGCACTTCACCTCCGACATTTGGAGCAGCCGGGGTGGCGATCACGCCTACCTCTCCCTCACGGAGCACTGGTGTGATCAGTCAGGCTGTCGGTGGGCTCTACTGCAAGTCGAGGTGCTGGATGAGTTCCACACAGTAAGGGAGATCATGGGGCCATGAACCACATGGTGCAGGGGTGGCTCGTTGGGCAGGCCAAGCTCACCCATGGGTTCATGATCACTGACAATGGGGCCAATATGGCGAAGGCTGTCCGTGATGCCAACTTTGTTGACATCTGCTGTGAGGCACACAGGCTGCACCTAATAGTGAGGGATGCCTTGGAGGGGGACAGGGCTACTGGTGACAGCACCGCCACCACTACTGCTACAAGCCAGCTGATTTTGAAATGCAGGAAGGTGGCAGGCTACTTCCACCACAGCATCAAAGGGGGCAAGATGCTGCAGGAGAAACAGGCAGAGCTCAGCATCCCGCAGCACAAGATCATGCAAGATGTGGAGACCTGATGCTCGAAAGTTTGGTGGAGCAACAGAAGGCCATCCATGAGATGGCCTTGCTTGGGGAGATTGGGATCAGCGGCTCCCTGATCAAAGCTGAGTGGGGTACCATCCCCCAGATCTTGGTGGTCCTCAAGCCCTTCCTTGAGGCCACCAAAATCCTTAGCACTGGTGATGCCCTCCTCAGCCAGGTAATCCCCCTCATGAGGGAACTGGAGAACCAAATGGAGAAGTTCCAGGGGATCAGCGTTCCTGGCTGGAGCAGGCCACTGTCACCAGATGTGCAGGCACTGGTGAGGCGGCTGAAGGAGGGCATCAGGAGACGGCTGGATCCCTTGTGATCCAGTACAGTCCACGTGATGGCAGGCATGTGTGACCCAAGGGTGAAGGGGAGCGTGTGCACTGGCAGCCCCAAAACCCTCGATCACTGGATGCAGGTGCTGGTGAACAAAGTCAGGGAGGGTGAAGTGCAGAGGCGAGGGAATGTGGAAGAGGGGGATCCCCTTTGCCATGCCAGCACTCCCAGCACTGGTGCCAGCACCCGCACCAGCCAGTCTCCTCCACACCAGCT